AAGCGGGACTGGCCTAGGGGATTTTATAGGGGTTTTAATTACTTTTAAATTTGACATTCTTAAATATTTCATTTTAATCAAATTTTAAATTAGGTGTAATATGTTAGCTTTTTATCATTTGTCAGCCGCCCTGAGTCCGAAAGGAGAAGGGCGGGATATAAATACAATTAATAAAATAAATAAATAAATAATAAATAAAGCTATGATGTCTCCCATTAGGTAAAATACACAGCTACCAGGCAGAGTTACATGCCATTCATATCATACTGTACGTGCTTCCTTTGTGGTGCAAATCAAAGCTATGAAGGAAGATTGGGGAAATGACAGAGAAGTTAATCATTGCTTAATCATTGCTAATTAAGTTCTTTCTTAAATGTGTATTACAATGTAAACAAAACAAAACAAATGAATTCTAATATCAGGTGAATAGATTTATCAATTTGACAGAGAAATTGCTTTAGAATTTTTTCTTTTTTGGCAGATGAGAGAACAATAAATCTGAAATTCTCATGGAAGAAGTGTGGCAATTGGATTTAATGGAAAACATCTTTTACATAATGAGCTTCTCCAGTCATTATGGAAGTACTTGAAACTCGGGAACAGTATTTCAAAATTCTTAGAATTCAAAATGATTAGAATTGGAAATATTTCCAACACCCTTAATGTATGATGAATGTCTTGTCTTTCATTGGAAAAATAATTTCTCCAGCTGTCTGTAGCCTCCCTAGCTTCCCATGGTTCAGGCAAATTTCAAATAAAGAGCCTGGAAAGGAACTTTTCATAGTATTGTTTTTACTCCATAGTGGTGTTATCTTGAAAAAGGTAGGGGTTTTTTCTTTTCAAAAACAACAACAAAACCATCCATCCATTTTTTCTGCCCACAAATTTGGTGGAAAATTCAAAATACTATCTCTATGAAATTCTAATTTAAACATATCACTAGCTTGAAATCTCTATCTGGCACACCTACCTGTACCCATTTTCTACTGATTTATTTTTAATCTTTCACTGTAAACTAATTTTGAGTTTCATATGATAAATGATCTATAAATGAAATGGTAACTACGGTGACATGTGGTGCTGCAAACTAACTGGGCCTATGGGGCCAAAATATCCATCTTCCTCTATTTTTGGTAATTATGCTACAGTAGTAATTACCTTATAAAGCAACTTACCATGTCTTTCACCATCAAATGCCCAGAAGCAAAAGCAATGGAATTTGGGGGTGTAGAGACTGGAAGCATGAAGGCAAAAGAGCATCCTACAGTTCCTGGTATCATTAAGTAGAGAGGATTCACCTTCAAACGAATGGCCTTTGAAAAGCAGAAATTAAAAAAAATGGGACTTTAAATGAAAATTTATTAATGAATTACATATCTCTGATGAAGGACTGAAGATATATCTCTCCATCTCTATTATGTGGTTGCCAGTTTGCTTCTGGATCCAATTCAAGATATTATTATCTATAATGCCCTTTGTGGTATGGGTCAAGATTAGCTGAGGAACCATCTCAGTCCAATGCAATTGGCCCACCTCACTTGCACCAGTAATAAGGGCATGCTGTGGACCCCGTTGGCCAAGGAATTTCAGCTGGGGGGAGGCGTTCAGGAGAAGACCTTTCTCTGCCACAGCACCAACCGGTGGAGCATCATATTTCTCCGATATGAGATTTGCTCCAACCCTTTTGACATTCCATAAAGGCCTAAAAATCTATCATCCTGTAACTGGTTTTTGGATTGGAAGATCCCATTTCCATTCTGTTGTATATCCCCTGCCATCTTGGTTATTTCTTTGTTAATTTTAATGTATTTATTATCTTACTGTTTTAATCTTTTATAATATTGTTTTATTGTAAGCCGCCCAGATCTGCAGGAACAAGATAAGCAGCAAATAAATTTAATAAATGAATAATATCTAGCATTTTGTACATGCTTTCACTAGATAATTCCATATGAACCTACTTGACAGAATAATTCAAGGAAAGCATCATGTTCATGGGGTCTCTAAATAAGATCATGTTATTGACACTGCATCAAGAAAAGGAATTCCCTTTCTGAAGTCTCTTCAGATTCAGTGGAGTCCCAATGTGAGATCTACACAAATTCAAAGTTTGGTTCCAAGTCCTATGAAAAGGCTTCTACAGATGTGCTTATCATAAAAAGGTTGCCACGTACAAGGATATAATGCAACCCAGAAGAAAAAAATGAAAGTAAGGGCAGCTATTGCTGGCTACTGCCTGGGCCAAGATCTCCTCATTGATAAGAGAAAAGAGAGCTAATGCTGCAAGCTGTTCAAAAGACACATATGAGTTTTTTTTACCAGTTCTGCCAAGACAGGCAAGAAGATGATGATTGTAGCTGTGTTACTGGCAAATTCTGTGAACATTGCTATGACTGCTGTGATGAGAATTACAGCCACAGGAGGAGGGAGATTCTCTAGAGGGTCAAGACGACCTCCAATCCAGACAGACAAACCTGATTCCTATAGCAAGAAAAGAAATTCCCCAAAGTTATGTAAGAGAATCAATAATATTTAAACCCCTAAAAATCTCCTTCAGTTCTTATCATGCAATGACAGCATTTGGGACAGATCGTTTAACTGACAACTGACATGCATCCCTGGAGGACTCCAGCAGGGGAGGACCAGGGAGATGAATAAAGGCAGCCATTTTACCCTTCACATTTACTGCCTCATATATTGTTGGTTTGACAAAATACCTCTTTATACTATTAGGATAATAAAGACATCCAAGCTTCTTGGGACCAGATAATTAATTGTAAAAGATGTAGCACATTTGTGTTTTGAATTATTACCAAAATCTGTGATCATTTTCAATTAAACAGTCACTATAGTTATTTTTCCCCTTCAGGTTCATATGATGAATTTTCTATGATCTATTTATTTTGCATTTCAGCTAAATATGACTCCTAGCAATTATATGAACAAGTACCTGTCTAACTTCTTCCTAGGGCTGAAAAAAAGCGACTAGAACTCAAATTTCCCCACTTCTAGCCAAGTATCTTAACCGCTAAACCAAATTGATTTTTAGTTAGAATAGAATAGAGCTGGAAGGGATCTTGGAGATTTTCTAACCCAGCCCCCTGCTCGAGCAGGAGAACCTATACCATTTCAGACAAGTGACTGTCTAGTCTCTTCTTTAAAACTTCCAGTGATGGAGCACCCACAATTTCTGAAGGCAAGCTGTTTCACTGGTTAACCGTCCTCACTGTTAGGAAGTTTCTCCTTAATTCCAGGTTGCTTCTGTTTTTGGTCAGTTTCTAACCATTGTTTCTTGTCCTGCCCTCTGGTGCTTTGGAGAATAGTTTGACCCCCTCTTCTTTGAGGCAGCCCCTCAAATACTGGAATACTGCTATCATGTCACCCCTGTTTCTTCTTTTCTTTAGACTAGCCAAACCCAAGTCCTGCAGCCGTTCTTCATATGTTTTAGTCTCCAGGCTAGTTAAATAAACTGTATTATGCTGCCCAAATCACTTGGTTGAGTTGCACAGCTATAGAAATTGAATAAACAAACAAATAAACAAATAAAGTGGCCAGTTTCATACATACAGGTAAATCCATAAACGGTAGGGATGAACAGATTCACACTAAGCCAACACTGATCAAATTACATTGAATTTAGTATAATGTGTGAACCGGGCCATGGTATGTGCATGTAGCATAATATAAAGTCATATATCACAACAGTGCCTATAGAAGATCAGACACAATGTTTCACAGGTTGCACTTTAACAGACGTACCTCACATCCTTTTGCCATTGCAAACCCTCCTCCAAGCAACAGGATTATATTCCAAGGCACACTTTCTTGGGCTTTGCTCCAAGTTAGCAAAGGTTTATTCTCAACATTTGATGCTAGATGAAAAGGTTTTTAATGAAGAAGGACAGAAATTAGTAATATAATCTATGGCAGCCTTCCCAACCTAGAGCCTCCAGATATGTTGGGATTATCCAGATGTTTTGGGAGTACAAGTCCAGCATCCTTAACTAGTCAGCCCAGGAATAAAGGTGGTTAGGAATGATGGAAGTTATAGTCCCAACATAGCACTTTTTTTTTTTTTGCATTGAGGTACCTTAAATCTGCTAACTTAAAACAATGCATACAAAATCCAGGACCCATTATTTTCTTGTAATTGAAATTTCAAGGATCTTCACACCAGTTGTATTCACAATGTTGTATCACTGCAGCATTGTTGCAGTTAGCCACAGTCAGTGATTGAGATTTCTGACACTCCATGCTAGCTTCCCACAAGCAAAGACAATGGGGAGGCCAGCAGAAAGTTAGAAGTTGCTCCCACTGCTACTGCTTTTTTCGCCTGTCCATGGTCCTATGATTTCTCTGTTTAGGTAAGAAATATCTCTGAAAAGATGACCAGGGGATCATGGGTAGTCTAGTGTAGCCTTAAACTGGTATCCTTTCTGCATATTTGCATAATAAAGTTATTACAAATTTATTTTCTTTTGTATATATCTAGAGCAGTGGTTCGATCTGCAATGTTGTCACAGGGGGTCTGCGAAGGCTTGAAGAAATTCTATGATTTAAATCTTGAGTTAAGTGGCCACAACAGGACATGGTCCGTGGCCACAACAGGTATTTAAAGGGGGTTCATGGTGAAGAAAAAGTTGAGAACCACTGGTCTAAAGGATCAAATATATCAAATATAAGAAATAAATCAAACAGAATCATCCATTTGTGTAGGAATTCTGGAAACTGTAATCTCAATGTAGTAGAGGGCACCAGGTTGGAATAGGCTACCCTAAATAATAGCTTAACATGTGAAGGAGCCTAGATAAAGCTAAGCTGACGTCTTTTGCCCTTCTCCAAATTCAAGGCAACCATAATACATGCAGCTGTTTTTGCATCTTTTGCCAAGCCTCAAGCTTTCAAATAAACTAGTTAATATTAACTATGATTTCCTAGTTCAGGCAACATGATAAGCAGTGCTTAAGCAAATATAAGAGCAAATCCTCTGGAATCCTCATGGCTATGCCGGGGGGGGGAGGGGAAGGGTCATAGGAGCTGAGTTCATGATGCTAAATTATGAATTATTTTCCTATTGTAATGGCTATCTCTTATGTCATAAACCAACTTCCATTAAAGAAATCCATTTATGAAATTTTATGCATGTGAATCAAAATTTCACAGGCCAATGAACCAGGAATTGATTTTACACAAATGCTTGGGAAGACAAGGCTTTTCAGTATAATATCAATGGTAATGTTAATACCAGCATTTCAGATTTACAGAAACACTGAAAAGAAATACTTTGATTGGGCCTAAAAAGTCTCAGGAGTGAAAGAAAATAAAAACATGTTATTTAATTCATTTTGTAAACAACCGTACTGTTGCATTCCAAATATGATAGGTTATGATTTCCATAATCAGCACCCATTCAATCAGCCGATTCAATCATTGGCCATTTTGGCTAGAAACAAGGAGCAATAATGCAGTGTCTGGAGGATACCAGATAGATAAACCTGACTTATATCAGTATGATATATAAGAGCATTTTTTACTGAAAAGCTTCAGATTATGAAAAATATGGATCAGAAAATCTACCACATTGCAATTTCTGGTCAAACAAAGGATAAATGCATGCATAAATTGATAAATAAACTTCTTCCAGTAAATGTGATTCAACACTTGCTGCAAAGAAAAAAATGGAAAAAATCTAATGAATTCAATCTGTAACCTTATCCCTTTAGTCAAGTAATATATATTTTAGGATGTAGTGTGCAGATATATTGTAACTTCAATATTTATCTAATGACCTTTGTCTATACAAATATCAGAGCAGAAATATTGACTATGTATGAGCAACATTTTTACATTTGTCTTTGAAATCACTTTTGTGGCTTTTGCTTTTATCATGTGATTATTTATTTGCTATTTGAGGTTTTGGACTTGATTTTTGTTTAGTTCAAATAAAAAATATTTTAAAAATCTAATGCAACAGTGGGCATTTAAAAAAATAGTTTACACTTTGGATCTAGAGGGTTAATTTTCCACTCACAGTTCAAACATAACACTTATGGCAACAAATAATCCAAATCTTATCAGGAAAGGTTTATAAATGGATTTTTGCAAAACAAGGCATCCTGACACCTAAGAGAATTCTTATTACTAGAGTAAGCACATTTGTGTATTTATGTATTTATCCAAATTATATCCACCTCACAAAATAACTGAAATAGCTGTTTTCTGTCATTACTACAGTTCTCAAATGATATCCTTATACTGAGGACAAAGTTAGCCAAGTAAAATAATTTTCTGCAACACTATCTCTATATTACTTATCCAAATGTCTATAAATTAGTCAATGTTTATATACATCACTAGAACAGGTGCTGTTAGAAAGAAAGGCATGGGAAGGCAAACAATTATATTTGGGGAACTAGAGTGAGGATCTTCAATAGTCATTGCTTCCAATGCCCTCCACAATCTGTGCTGAAGAGAGCAGAGAACATGGTGGTTTGTGGTGTACAGAGAAGTTGGCACCTGACAGAACACATTACCAATGAACTCATTGTCATTGGTGGTCACCCCTTTCATTGTCTTTCCCTCCTCAAGGTTCTTCAGAACATGCTTGGGTATGCATAACATCTCCCTACAACTCTTTAAGCCCAATGAGGTTCCCCCCCCCCGGGATCACATAATACAGGCATGTCAAACTCGCAATGTTACATGACGTCGCATGACGTATTGGGACTTTTTCCCCATTGCCGGCAATGGGGTGGGTGTGGTTTCGACGTGACGCATCCGCCCATGGGCCGGCAGTTTGACATGCTTAACATAATAAAAAGCAGCCACATTATCCCAGGGGAAGATACAATTGTTTTCAAAGGTGCTGAAAGGTGCTATGTGAAAACCTCTGTGTACTCCAAGGCACCTATTTCTTTTCAATCCAATGTGAGGCACAGTTCTAATATCAGTAAATGTTTTCCCTTGTCCCTGTTTGCCTAGTTGAATGTTTTTAATCCTCCATAGGATAAATGTGTTAAAAATTAGAAGCCTATCAATCAATGTTTTCTATGGGGCTGTGGAAACCAGTGTTACAACACAATCTAGAGAGAACTCAAAAATATGAGACCTGAGAGCAAACTTTGGTAACCCAGCAATGTACCTTTTAGATCAAACCACCATTTAAGAGATGGCTTTTTCGCTGGGAAGAAGAATAGTATTGTCACTATTGTGATTCCAGTAACTGCATCTGAGACAAACCTAACAGAAATGGAAAGAAGATTCTATGTAAGCAAATCATATTTTGTCAAAGAATTAGTTTTTACATCAGGTTTAATGAACATTTACAGTTTATAATTATTCTTTTTAAAAAAAACACTACAAATTATTGCCATAAATTAGAAAATAATTTGGAACCTAAAATTAGAAATTAGAGAAAGCATGACAAGAATCCTTTATTTTTTTTAATCAAGACTAGTCTTTAATCATTGAGTGATTATTGATAACAGACAAATTATTGAGTACAATAATTGAAATAATCATATTCTAAAATGAAGAGGCTACGCTATTTCACCATGTACAGGACAAAGAATTTCAGAATCAGATACTGTATATCCAGTAGGGGACCCAATGAAGATGCCTTGTTAAAGACCTGGAAGAGTAGGATAACTGTACAGTAAAAGGGGATCCTGAAAGTAATGTGGATGTAGGACATTGAAACCCCCCAGCTTTTGAACTGGATTCAAAAAGTAAGTGCAGCAAGTGCAGCAATGTAGCTGTTTCAACACAGGGTTGAAGTGGGAATTAGGCTTAGCCTATCTTTTAAAACAGCAATATAAAAAAAATTACAGGTGAACATCCAAATCCCTGTCCATTGCATGATGAAAATTCAAATATCCTCCCAGCAAATATTAAGTGTGGTCCTTAGAGGTTTCTCAGTCTTTGCTCTGGAGCCTTAAATAAAAGTCCTTCAATTTCTAGACAGCAAGTTTGCTTTTAATTGGATATATCAGGTGTTTAATTTCCATGTAAAGTATTATCCTACAATACAACCATTATCTAGGAGGAAGTAAAAAAGAAAAACCTATGACTCTTTCCTTTGATACATGAAATATGACAGTTCTCACTACCCATAGGGTATAATGAGATATAATTTCCATCTTTCTCTAACAAACACAGCAAAGAAGAGGAAGATCTGGGAACTTCAACTAAGACATGATCAAAATTTGGCATCACATAATTTCTTAGATACAGGAAAAAGATTTAAAATGCAATACATGTTGTTTTTGAAGAAAATTGAGGTCAGTGGATTATACAATTCAGCCCCAACAAAGTTTATAAAGAGTGTTATCAGAGAAAAAGAGTATAAGTTTTCTTTGTATTGTTGTAAACTGGAAGCATGGTCTGACTTTTCAAATAACCATACAGCTGCATTAACCTGATAGATATTTTACAGCAAAATTGTTGTTATTGTTAAAGTCAAACTAGAATGACTTTTTCAACAAATATATGAACATTTAGTCAAATTTTCCATTAAATAAAGGACAGCATTACTAAATCTCCTATTTACCTGAATGAGTTCAAATAAACTAAAAGTAAAAGCTTACCCTGGTTTAAATAAGCTTGCCCAACCTGTGATGAATTTTGGATCTCTGGAGAATAGCAGAATGGCAAATAAACAGAAGAGAACGAATACTGCCTGCTCTGCAAACCTGTTTTGGAATAAAATTAAGCACTGCTTTAAATATTTGTCTGAAGTTTAAGTTCAGCTAGAAATAGCAGATGGTAAGAAACATGAAGAGGAACAAATGATTTAAAGTGTTTTGCATGTGAAAGTCAATAAAATGCAGGAAAAACCTATGAAATGAATATAACTCCAAATGTTATTCATATGTTATGTAACGTATAGTTATGTTATATAATGAGAGTCAGTTTGATTTATTGGATTAGGCATGAGTGAATCTGAACTCTTATGTTGCTTTAAACATGAAGCCAATTGGGTGATTTTGGCCAGTCACTTTGTCATAGTTGTAAGGAGAAGGCAGCAAAAAATCACTTCTGAAAATGCTGGCAAGAAACCTCCAGCAATTTCTCCATTCAATTGCCAAGAGCCACTACACCTTCTTATTTGAAACTTGGTTGTACATAAACATGGATATAAGCTACCTTCAGGCATTCAAATAATGTGCTAACAGTACAAACAAACATGAATTTTCCTTACATACACTTTTATTCCATTTTAGGAACTAATGTCTGAAATGGCTAATGTATATCTGGAAGGTCTTGGGTAGGCAGCAGCAGCAGCTGACCTGGGCTGATTATGGAAACCTAAGCAGAGCCAAACCTGGGTAGTATTTAAATGAGTGACCACTGAGAAATACTGTATATAACTATCTAGATAAGATGAGGAAGTCAAAACAATTCCAGAAGAAGGCATCAGCTATCCATTTCCATACTATTGCCAAGACACATGAATGGATATCTCTGGAAAGCTCAACTGAAAGGAGTCTTGCCTATATTTATATCTGAAATAAGTTTGTCATTATGTTCCATACCTTGGTTATATTCACATTAAATGATTGTCATGTGTTATGAATGTGATTGCCCTTGAAGATAGTAAGAAATTATAGTATATATGGAATACAATGCCAATATGCTTGTGGCAATGAAGATAATCTACTGATTACTTTGGCTGCTTATTGTTTCCATGTACAATTCAAAATGATGTTTTTGAGCTTTAAAAATGTCAGTGTATGACCCTGCCCATATTTTAAGAATGGGTTGAAAAACGTATTCTCTGGCTAGACAGTGAGAACTGATAAATTGGCAGGTACAGGTAAATTTGATGCATTAAATCATCTTGATGCAGTGGTGGGATTCAACCGGTGGCTAATTTTTTGTTGCCCAGGCCCAGAATGGACTTCCGGAAGCGGCATCCACACAGAGAACCAGTTGTTCACATATTTGGATCCCACCACTATCTTGGTGCCTTTTTGTGTGTACATTTTGACCTATATTTTCAAATGCTTTGTGATTTATACATTAATAGCTGATGGTAGTACTCTGAAAGGTGCACTTTAGTTTTCAATAAATAGATTTTGTATACGTGGGGAGTATGTTTGTTTCAAGATTCATACAGGAGTGTAGCATATAATGGTCAGAGTCAGAAATAGAAGTTGTTTTGTTCCATATGTGCATTGTTTTCCAGGAATGCAAAAACAATTTAAATTTAATTTGGTTATATGAAATATAACACTGTGTACTAAAAGTCTAATTTAATAATCAGTTAAAATCTCAGTTGCTGGATGTTGAGAAGGGGCAGAATAGAAAGCTATTTCATAACTGAGTATTTAAAAGGAGATTCATTACTAAAAAAACCATAGCATCAAAAAACACTCTAAAGGCAACCAAAGCATCAAAAGCAAATAAATAAATAAAAGCAGAAAACCATCAATAGATTTAAAGAAAGAAACAAGAAACAGAAGCCATTTCAAAGAAATCTGGAATTGCTAATCAAATTGGCAGGGGCTGATTTAATGGAGTTTTTATATTCTTAAAACAGTAAAAGGCCTTTGATTTTTTCGGTGACACTTTGCAGGTTCCTGATGTATAATCACTTGAATGGTGGAGTGGGAAACTAATTTCTTGCATAACCATCCCTTAATGATGAAATCTTATAAGCAGCTTTTTGGGCAATCTGTCCTACCTTATTTTTGCAGTATCTATGCAATAGCTATATGCAGATTTTAAACATCAGGTTTATAAAGATAAAAGTATATCACAAAAACAACAAAAATTTGAGGGAAGTGAATAATTAAAAAGGTTGTCTGGCTTTTTCTGAAAATGTCCCTTTTATTGTTCTATCTGACAATGCATAAATATAGATACAATACACAACTGAAGCTGCACGAGCTAACTACCTTATTAAAGAAGAAAAGTGAAAGTAATGATCTCCCTGAATAATTTATAGAACAGCCCTCTAATTATGTGGGCCGAAGTTTTTCAGCTTTTGTGATCGTTATATAAATGATAATTCATGAAGGACATCATTTATTACTTTAGGATTGTTCTTGAGTGCACTGAGCTACAAATTTTCAAAACTCAGTGGACTAGCTAATTAAAGAATTAGCTCACTCTTTACTTAAATAATTTAGTAGAGATAATTAAACACAACAATAGCTACAATATTTCAAACTGATTCTGTCATTTGAAATCTGCTCTCGAAGCATGGCTCCTCCAACTAAGCAGTCTTAATCAATGAAAAGAAGACATGAAAACAGAAACAGAAAAGCCATAGGAGAATGTGTATTTCATGGACATTCTTATTACTACAGTGATTTTTCTTGTAAAAGGGTTAAGTGCAGCAGATGATATACATTCAAATCTGAAATTTATGAAAAATCCCCATTATTAGATGACAATACTGATATTGGATTAAATTAATTCTAGAGTCCTTAATTCTGACCTAGACAAACAATCATAAACAAAGACATTTAAACCCATATTGCACATAAAAGAAATAGACATCTCAACCACTATCATAACTTTTTTGACCTGCAGATACCTATAATGTTAAATGTGACTGAATAGAAATGTTACCATTCTAATGCATCTATTTGATATCTCACATCCTTTCCAAATAATTTCATCTTCTTGTTTGTGATGTTTCTTATTCCCATTGTGACTTACTTTATTGGTCCCAGTTTCTCATAGTCTTCCTTTATAACTGCCCGAGCTCTGCCTTCTGCATCAGCTCTTATCTCCGGTTTCTTCTTTCTGCAGCCTCTGATAACCGGAAAGGGGAAAAAAGTTGCTCAGTTTAAGTTGTGTAGCCAATATTTCTCCAGATCATCCACAATACTTATTGTAAGATCCTGGCTTGCAGAAAAGAATTTACACTGCTCTTGATGAATATGATTCTGTTTTCTGATTTTTGTGATTTTAAAGTTTCGGTTGGTTATTTTTTAACATTTTTAAAAATTTGTTTTAACTTTAGAGAAAATAGGTTATATGTCTAAGAGATACCTCTGAATGATGATTTTGTCGTGCTATGAGAATACACTATTTACATATAATGTACTAACTATATTCAGCATCATTGGGGCATTTTAAAAAATATATTATCACTATTTCAGCAGCCAAATGACTTTTTAAAAGGTTCAATTTAATACCTATAAAGTCCTGTTTTTGAGAAAGAATTCTAAAGAAAGTGCCATAATGAAGAAGATGCCAGGTTTAGACCAATCTGCCTGGAAATTGGTACGTGTTGAGAATGTTCATTTTTGACAAATGCCAATTATAAAACTGGAAAGAGTTAAAATAATGTTTATAATATGGGTGAAAATTGTTGAGAATTTCCACAAAATGTGGCAAACATTGTTCTTTAAAACAATGTGAAATAGAATTTAAGCAGCTATGATGTTGAGAACTATTCAGAGAACACTGTAAGAAACTCAAGATGTTTTTTATTTTTAGTTAGTAAAATAACTGAACATCTTTCTTTTCTCCTATCAGTAAGCCCCAAAAATATTCTATATGCAAAGAAAAAATAAAGAATCAGCATCCCTAGTTGTAAAAACGATGTCCTTGTAACTATAAAAATTACATTCACAAATCTCCAATCTTCTGCAGCCATGCATTATCTCTGTGCATTATTTTAGATTTGTAGATTTTTCATTTCATCATAAAGTTGCTCTATTTCAAAGGGATTTCTCACAGTTTCCAGCTAGTCTAGTTATGTAAATTAGTGCTCACTTAGAAAAAAAAATACGAGAAATTTTGTGGACATCAAATATGTTCTTGCTTATTAGTCAGACTAAGTCCCTTTAAATGAATAGGACTTGGCTCATATGTGATTTGACCCATCTTGTTTTTCCACATATCTCTCAAAATACTATCAATAGTATGCATAAAAATACATTCCATTTCTAGTCATATCTAGTTATATCCATGTCACAATGTTAAATGTGTTGCTGGATTTCTATTAACACTAAAAAGTCTTGATCCATTCTATCAAATAAAAAGTTTATACTGGGAAGCTATCAAATGTATAACTAAGGGTTTTGAAGAAAAAGATCTTTGTCTATGTTTCCATTTTTTAAAGCAAAACTGGCAGCTATTTGTTTTCTTACAATGGAGCAGGGGTAGGGTTGCCAGGTGTCCACTATTTGAGTGGACAGTCCACTTTTTTCACATTATGTTCACTATTTTTTTTCACAAAATAGTGGACATTTTTTTTATTCAAAAGCTTTATGATGAAATGGTATGTAATCTAAAGCTGTACAGTCTACTTTTTTTACTACTCCCCCCCCCCCGCTTGTCCGCTATTTTTTGGAAGCAGACCTGGCAACCCTAAGCTGCAGGAGAAAAATATTTGCAATCAACCATTCAATCAATCAATATGAATAAGCAGTCTGACAAGTGCTTAGGTTTAAAAGGTAATAGCTATGAACTAGCTCAGACATCTTATCCTGTGCTAAGGGCAGATTACTATTATAATGATTATCTTTAAAGTTTACAAAATCCTCTTTTGAAATGTCCCTGAATTCCTTAGAAATGCCTTCAATTTGAAAGAAAATGAAGAAGGAATCAGTGGAGATGAGAAGAGGATGTTGTAAGTATCCAGATTACAAAAGGTTTACAATAAAACAGTTACCAATTAACAAATTGCGTAATGAAATCACTGAAGTTTAATCCTTGTCAGATGTAACATGCCCTGATCCAAATTTCCAGGGAGATACTTTAACTCTAATTCTGCAAAACCACTGAAGCTTGAAAGAAGGAAAAACCCACAAGCTTTTTACTTTCATAAAATATGAATACTGTCATCACAGAACATTTAAAGAAAATCAATAACTACAAAAACAGAACATTTCTTCTAGTTACTGAATATTCAACATTTTTTTAAAAAAAATACTAGTCTTTGAACCCTATACTCATTACAGCAAATTAGTGAAACTCCCTGCAGCTCTCAACAAAACTATGGCAACATCGGTTACAGAATTTTTATCATGAGGGAAGAATAAGCGTAGAAAGAACTGAGAACTCTTCCAGGCTTAGCAAACAACAGGCTGGAAGAGAAATGTCTCTACAACTTCCATTTCTCAGTTGAAATATCTTGCTATGTATCTTTTGTGTAAAGTGGAAATTTTCAATTTTAAAAGTCAGCGTGTTTAGGAACAAAGGAAACAAGCCCCCAAAATTATTATTTTTTAAAATGAAGGACATCACAGAAAATTATATCAATGAAAAGAGGTTAAATATTCATTCAAATTAAAAGTGTCCCCTATTCCAGCTTTTGAATGAACACCAATTATTTCAACTGCAAATGAAAACAAATTCAAATTATGCATATAACTCTGATGTAACACTACCTTAAGTTAATGCATCCATAAAGGAAGCATATCCAGAGCCATCCAAGGAAAAGGAAAAGTACCATTAAGGGAAAGGCAAACACAAACCAAGAGCCAAAGTTCACAACATCACATCCTGGAAAATAACTTTGAGAAAGAAAAAGACCAATTAATATAAAGTAGACAAAATATCTTTTGAGTACATTTCAAATATGAAATATATAACCAATACAATATGTCTTACAACCTTCCAAAACCAATTTATAAAATGTAATTAATAAAAGATCAGCCAAGATTGTCTGAATTTTTTTCCACATTCTCTAGGAAAATCCTACTCAACAATCCTAACTCTGTAATTCCTGACACACACACAGACTGACTTCATACATTGCATTAATCTATGCTGCACTTAATAAACATTTTTAAATAGGTCATAATAAGTTACTTCACCTATTTGGGGCCACAAAATATGGTGGCTGGATTCACATAATATAATACACCAATATCAAAAAGTCACATTATGGCTAAGTGCCTTGTGTGAACCTGGCCAGTATCTGAACATTTCCTATTATCGTTGCCAGTGTTGTTAGTTTTCTACAAATACCAGATGCCCAATTCTGACAAAAACTGTACCTCTTTAACTGTCCTGAAAGAATGAGGTTTGGGGCTGTCCCAGTCAGTGTTGCTGTTCCACCAATACTAGCAGCATAAGGAATGGAAATCAGAAATGCTTTCCATATATTTGTCTTGTCATGTTCTTCCTTCGTTATATCCAAGGAAATGTCAACTCTGACTTCCTTCTCTTCAGTCATATCTTTCCTTCAAAACATTCCAAATAAAAATATAACAAATGAAATATGTTTTTGCTTGTAAGTCTATTGTTAACTTCAGAGAGGGAAATTTGGGGCAATTTATATATTCTGTACAGAATATTATATATTCTATACATAGTAGGATTAATTCTTCTTCAGGGGGGTAAGACTTCTGTGGGTTCAGGTTGGATTAGGTTGAAGCAGCAATAGGCGGCACTAGTGACACCCAGTCTTTTAATTAACTTTAATCTTTTTTATTTAGGTTTGTGATTATCTTTAAATGAATGAAAAGTAAAAACAGCATCACTCTACATTTAATACAGAGATGGGAATGTCATTGCTGAGCATGGCCCATGCTCAATATTTTTGGAAGGATGACATTATAATGTAAAGTGGTTGAAGCTATTTTATATGAACAAGAAGACTTAGACTAGGTTTTTTCCCCATTTTTCCCATCCCTGCTTTCAAAGTATGTAGAAGATGAAATTTCAGTAGCCACAACTTTTTTATCTCCTGCATGACAAGTCCTTTGTTTTTTTTATCTTTTATGCGAGTATGAAAAATTCTGGATGTTTGTTCCCTTTAAAGACAAAAGGAGAAAAGTTAACTTGATGGGCCATAAACCTGGTATCAGAACATGCACTTAACTTGCAGAGGGCTCAAGGTTCAATTTTCAACACTTACTGTTAAAGAAATAAAAGACCTCTTGCCTAAAAGTAAGGAATGTTTGCCAGAAGGAAGGAAGAGAAGACACTGCCTCATATACAATAGGCGTATTCATAGTTGAATCATAGATGAACTATAAACTAGGTCCATTTGTCCACTACAATCAACACTGATTTGGAGAAGCTTCTTAGATTTTTAGGGAGAGATCTTTCCAAACTCAATCTGGAGATGCCCAATATCCTTATTTCAGCCTTATTGAACAATGCCCTTGTTGGATTTTGTGTAAAACCACTATTTAACAGATTTAACAACACATGTATGAACCTGCTTTCCTTTCCATTTTCCTATGCTGGCAAAGCAAAAAAGTAAGTTTTGCTTCCATTTCCAATTAATTACAGTCTTGTTGATTGTATCAACTGTACAACTGTATCAACTATTGTATCAATAGTTCTGAGGTCCCCAACCTTTTGGGCACCAGGGACCGGTTACGTGGAGAGAGATTTTTCCACAGACCGAAGGAGGACGTGGTTTTGTGTACAGCCTGCATCCTATGGATGGGGTTTTCCTTGTTTGTGTGGACCAGTTGCTGGCATGACCCGGCCCGGTACTGGTCCATGGACTGGGGGTTGGGGACCCCTGCTGTAGTTGATTTGAACTGAAATTTAATCAAGGTAACACAATCTTTTCAGCTTTGGAGGCCACTATAGTGCCACAGAGTTACCAACACTGCATTTCAGTGTCTTCACCTTCCCAACAAAATGCTTCCTCCCTAATGCAGAAGCATTTTATTCCAATCAGGCAAATAAATGATGGAAGGACCGTGCTGTGATCCTATTCCAGCATTATAATTACACTTGGTATCATGATATAGGCAGATGATTGACAGGAAAAAGCATAGTACCATTACAGCAGCCTCCCTTTCTATTGACTGAATTCATAGGAAACCCATATGGAGAAAAGAGAGATCTCTTTAGCAGCATAACAAACCAGTGGGATAATGGGAACATGAGTACAGGGAGACATTAAATTGCATCTATTTTTTAGAAAATTAAAAGATTCCCCAGGCACTGATTTACCAAGCCAGGAGTACAACCATATTTTAATCCTGATTTGTATTAAATACTAAAACTAATCATAATTAGTCTTGGTTAGAAAGACATCCTGATAAACAGCAGCTTCTTGAAAATGGAAACAGGTGATTTTTCTCCTTGGAACTGTATCCACAGAAAATGGAAGAAAGCATACACAAACCCCAAATTCAAAATTTCTCAAAACAGATCATCCAATTTTATGGAACAATGCCCAGAATTCTGGTGTTCTTGAAAATTGTGAGAACTGTGATCTGCAAGCAGTATCTGGAAATGCTACTAATGAGCAGTACTTTTTTTCTAAAAAAAAAAAAAAAAAAAAAGGTGCCGGAACTTACACATATCATACAACCTGCCTTGCCTACCCTACAAGGTTTCATCCAAAAAAGGTGCCGGAACTACGTTCTGGGCGTTCTATGAGAAAAAAAAGCCCTGCTAATGAGGATGGGTATGCTATAAAGTGCAATAAAGTAGATTTATTGCACAGAATTACAAAAACATATATAGAAAGATATTCTTCATATAGCACCTTAGAATCCTACCTTTTCTATAAATTCATCCCCAGATCCAAATCTTAGGCATCTTCTTACCATCTTTTTGCATTAAAATCTGTTTGTTTCTCAACTGTGAAGATTCCTGCCATCTATCCCTTGTTTATAAAATGTCTTACCCCAGTAATTCCCATCTCAGTTCCCCAACTTTTACAAAATATAGCAAGATATTTCTATAAAAACAGGAATATATGCCAAGCAAGCAGTTTCATATTTCATACAGATAGTGTCTTCCTTTTCAATAGCAACTTACTCATTAATATTTGTTAGAAGCTGCATCTCAGTTGGCACCATGTGAAGTTTATTCTGATGTACTGAAGCTAAAAAAAATAAATATTTCAAAAGAGTTTTTTAAAAAAAACAGAAAAAAGTTTTGGAAGTATATTTATATTATTATCATATTGATTAAATTTGTATACAGTATATGTGAATCGCATTTACTCCTCCTTATCAAAAGTGGTGTTCTTTGATGTCTGTTTTTCAAAAAATGGAGAAAATGCATATTGGCTTCTGGATATTCATAAAAATTCATCTCAGACTATACTGAAATAAATGTTAATAGTCACCGTAATTATTTTTTAAAATGCAATAAATAGATTAACCTGGCCCTAAGAGAATGTGCTGTTCTGATCTCACTAGACTTGTTACAGCCTCCCCACACACACACAAATTTCACTACAAAACCATATTGCTTATACTAGAAACAAAATACAGCCATCCTGAATTAGTAGTCTCATACATTAGTGCTCCATGAATATATGTAATCATCTCTTAAAGCCATATACATTTTAATCGATCTCTACCATTTGTAGAAGCAGAGTTGCTAGTTTCACTGTGCTGCATGGAATATTACTGTTTGATTTTTTGAGGCTGTAAGACAGGGGTCCCCAACCCCCGGTCCATAGACTGGCACCGGGCCGCAGCATGCCAGAAACCGGGCTGCACAAACAAGCAAAGCCCCATCTGTGAGATGCAGCCAGTACATGAAACCACGCCTCCTCCGGTCCGCAGAAAAACCTCTCTCCACGGAACTGGTCCCTGGTGCTCAAAAGATTGTGGACCTCTGCTCTAAGATCAGTTTAAAAGTTTGCTAGGTACTACATGGCATCATAAGATGGTTCACAAATCATAGTGGCTCAGAATATGATTTAGTTGCTTTTTGCTTTAAGGTATTATACCACCAAGCTCAGATAGCACTAAGAATCCCAATAATATTACATTAATGTTTGTTTTGGCTTTAAAAAAAAAAGAACAATAAATGTACTTGCAGTTTCATATCTACTATAGCAGACAAATTCTCTGGAACTTTTTACCTCTGATGGCACCATATTTATTTTATTCATCTTATTAGAATTTTTCAAGATTCATAATTTACAAAAATCATCTGTAACTTTGAAGCCTTTTTTTTTAAAGAAAAATGTACTTATTGGTATTGTACCTCGGTGAAATGCTTGTTTTCATCTTTATTAGAATCTTACTACTACATTTTTTGCAGAGGGCCAAGATTAGGATCATTAGGGATTCAACTACCCTGTTGAGCCTTGATTTTAATAGAACATGTGCTCTTTTGACCCTAGATCTTCTTGTATAAACTTTTCCACTTAGAAAAGCAGTCATCTGCTTTTACTTCTTTCTTCATACTGAGATAGACAGGATATTACGGAAAAGCACAAGGTGGGCAAAGTCTATGAACCTGCTCACTCTGCTGTTGAAAGTATGTGTCTTACTGCTCAGTGAACCTGTGACTTTTGCACTGTCATGTTTTATACTTCACTATTTCACCAATCCTGGCATTCTTTCTTATTTAAGCAATAAAATGGGGTCTCAGCTCATGACTAGAACAACAGGGAAGGAATTAAAACAATAATATACTCTGGATGCATTTTCCATTCCACAGTACAAAAAAATGTATATCTCAGACTGATCAAATGTTGATACAATCTAGTTTTTGAGTTTGTTCAAACTGTTAGGAAAAGGATTATGTTCTCTACCCAGCAGGTAATCAAGAACTTCTTGTCCTTGGCTATTTTAGATCTACTGATGATGGTGGTGCCAGGAAGGATTATCTTAGATACAAGTGAACCAGGGCTGGTTGGATCTGGCCACAGTTATTCATGCCTTGGTAGTACAAAATTCTATTTGAGACTACCCTTGAAAAATAACAAAAAGCTTTAGTTGGCAAGCAGTGAAGTAGCTAATTTGCTACCATGTAGAAAATACCATAATCCCATCATATCCATACTGAAAAATCTCGGTTGATTACCAACCATTATCCCAACTCAATTTAAGGTGTTTAAGACAGAGCCACAAATATAGTAGGACATAGCAACCTGAAACAGGGCATCCATAGGGAGGGGGAAGGGGTTGTCAATAGTGTAAAAACAATGTGCATTGGGCATGGCTCGGCAATCAACCCCCCCCCTTTTAACATTCTCTGTTGTTTTTCCCAAACTGTGCAGCTCATAACCTCTAAAACCTTGACTAATGACCATTCTCTCTGCTTTTAAGCAGAATATGAACATTAAACTCTTAAACTTACATTTTTAAAAAAATATTCATTAGCCATAATTGTTATTTTATGTGTTACCTTAATTATTTTTGAGTCATTGGTTTTTATATTGCTGATGACAGTAGCCATCTTGAGTACTCTTTTTCAGATAGTAACTGGAACATTACTATTGTAATTTATACCATAGTAATTTATAATCATTCTTGCTATTATTATTATTACTATTACTATTACTATTACTATTAACCTTAACAGTTCAAGTCCTAACCAAGGACCTAAGAGCTGTTAAGGTAACATCTGAGTATATAGGCAGTTCCAAATAAGATTTTTTTGCAAAGTCAGATTATTATTATTATTGTTATTAGTATGCCAATAATTCTTTAAAAAATAACTTGAATTGTAAGTCATAAGTATAGAAGATACTGTCCATCCAAGCAATATGAGCAGCACTGATCTGCTTTCTTGTGCTCAGGTGAGATTTAAATCAGATTTTTTTTCCCTTCAATTTGTACTCTTGTTGTCAGAAGAAACATTTTCCCATACAAAGTTACTGTTAGAATACAGGAAAAGGCAGGTTTGAACACTCTGTACATCCACGGATCAAATGTCTTTCTTATTCCTTGTTGCAACACCATGGGAACCAATATGCATATACATATAAAGGTAAAAGTTTCCCTGTCAGTCGTGTCCAACTCTAGGGTATGGTGCTCATCTCCATTTCTTGGTCGAGGGAACCAGCATTGTCCAAAGACAATTTCCGTACTCATGTGGTCAGCATGGTTATATGCCAAAGGTGCATGGAACACTGTACCTTCTCACCAGAGTGGTACCTATTAATCTACTCGCATTTGAATGCTTTCAAACTGCTAGGTTGGCAGGAGCTGAGGCAAGTAACAGGAGGAAACCCCGTTGTGTAGCACTTGAGTCTTGAAGCTGGGCTGACAGATCTCCAACTGACAAGCTCAGTGTCTTTAACTAACTGCTGAGCCACTGCACCCCCTTGTATATACATGTCAAAAATGAACTTATACTTTTAGGAACACTGAAATGGATCAATCATACTTACCTTTATTTTCTTCTTTTACCTTATTGCAATCATTAGATGTTTCCTTATCTCCAAAAAGGCTTTTTAAAACAGCCAATGCAATTGGTAGCATCATGGCAGTAGAGGCTGTATTACTCAGCCACATAGACAAGAAGGAAGTTGTTAGCATCATGCCTAAAATGAGCCTGAAAGAGAGGAGAGGAGAGGAGAGGAGAGGAGAGGAGAGGAGAGAGGCTACAAAATCTTATATATATTTTTTCATTTCAGTTAAGAAAATTCCATGGTGACATCATTCAAGATTAATCAGTACAGTACAATATCACCTACCGGCATATACCAATTTGGTGCCTTACTGTCAGGCTTACCAGATAGCCAGACCCAGAAAAAGATGTCAAGTATGCCTAAAACTACTTTGGTTAAGAATGGCTATAATAACAGTCTTGCAAGTCTGAATGTGCTCCTGGCTCCTACCTTTTTTATGTTCACATGAAGGGTTGTCTGTCTGGGGGATTTTCAAATCTTTCCTGCCACATTTGGGCTTCCACAATGTTTATCTGCTTTTTGGCTTCATTCACTCTATCAAGATCATCTTCTTTATTCTCTACACTTCCATATATGTTGAACTATAACTGGCCATCTCTGTTGGACTATAACTGGCCATCTCTGTTCTGACTGTGGATAAGCCAGAGTACAACACAAATAAGGGACTAATAGGAACAGGATTTAAAACTAGCCACAAGGATTAAAAACCCACCAAATGTCAATATTAGCCAATCCTGGCGGATCTCAAAAAACTTGAGCTGGGACAGACCCAATTTGTATTTGGATAAAAGACACCAGAAAATCACAGGATGGTTGAATAGGTTGAAAAATTCAAACAATATCCTAGAAGAAGGCAATGACAGCAATACAAATGTGTTCATGTAGTCAACAGGAGCTGAGATTGATTCAAAAATGCCTTTATTTTACTTTCTGACTTCTGGCAATTACCTTGACTAATGCCTGGAGGTTTTTTGGCAAGAGTGTTTTGGAATGGTCTGCCATTGTCTTGTTCCCAGGGCTGAGAGACAGTGACTGGCGCAAGGTCATTCAGCTGGCTTTGTGCCGAGAACTCACAATCTCCTGGTTTCTAGCCTGATGTTTGACTTTACTTACTTAAAATGCAACACAAAATGAAACCTATGAGAATAAAAACAACTTGATCTGTTGCCATGGTGACAGCCACATCCATAGTATATGTTAAACAAGTTTTATGTTTTGTAATTATTTTCAATGAGCAGCAATTTTGGAAATATTTTTCTAAGCAAGTCTCCCCTATGAAATCTTGCAGCAATATGAGTAGTTGTGGGTACCTTGTGTTGCTCTGTGTCAAAATAATAAGAGATTATAACCAAACCTATACCATGAAAGATTTCATAGGTGATAATCAGCATCTTCAGTTGCACCTGGAAGCCCACTGGGAGCCTGTGCAATTTGTGCAGAAGTATGTTACCTGAAAGTAACTTAGTGCATCCATAACTATTCACACCACTACATTCTGGACCTGTTGCAGCTTTTGATAAGTCTTCAAGTAAAACTCCATGTAGATTGTGTTGCAGTAATCTGAATGGGAAGTGACCAAGGCATGATAAGTAAGGCTTCCCAATTCAGGAACAGCTGTAAGTGGTACACAAAATGGATTTGTGTCCCCTTTTTTGTCAAATTAAAGCTGAGAATCTAGGAGGTCTGCCAAACTGTACACTCTTTGTGATACTTTTTGTGAGAATGCTATCCCAACCACAACAAATGATGGAAAATCCCTGGTTTAGTGAGCCCTAAGATTCCTAGCCATTCAATCTTGCTAGAGCTAAGTCAAAACCTCTTCTTCCCTATCCAGTTCCTCACACTCTCTGAACCTGATGTCATCACTTGCTTGGTCTGGTGCAGAGGTAGTATATGTGATTGAGTGTCATCATAATATTGATGATGATTAACCCCATTCCAACTGATGGCATCATCCCATATAGGTGTTTAACAAGAATGGGAAGAGAGCAGAGTCCTGAGGAAATCTGCTAAGCAGGGGCTTAACACTACATGGAGCCCCCATCAACACTGACAGGAACCTGCCCCAGAGGAAAGAGAAGAACCACTGCAACCACTGTGCCCTCCATACTAATCCTTCCAAAGTAATCCAGAAAGATACCTTATCCAATGTTACCAAAGATCATCAAGAGATCCTTAAAGGCCAGCACCACTATCATTCCAGTTTTTGCACTTCAGACTGAACTTTTGAACCCCAGGTAAACATAGAGGAGATTTTATTAAAAGAAAACAGTATCCTAGTCATTTAACTCCAAGTGCTTCTTTTCCTGCATGCCTACTGCAACAGATTGTACAAAGTAAAGAAGAGATGGACAATATATGGAATCGGACTTGCCAGCTGTTGGTGAATTCCAATCCTCATGAGCTCTAATTAGTGTGGCCAGTATTGAGGGAGGATAGGAATTGCAGTCCAACTGCATCTTTGAATATCATATATTGCCAACCCCTGCAATAGCTTTGTGGCAACCTAAGCCATACATCTGTTTTAATTTAGCCAGTGTCAAGCATGCCCTGCACTTCAATTTCATATAAAAAGAGGAGTGGCATAAATGTTGCAGGGAAAACATTTGTATTCCTGACATGTTTTGAATTGTGAAACTTGTTTTCTGGAGTCATTTCTCATTCATGCCTTGTGCTAAATGATCACGGAGACAATTTAGCTCTTGATTGGGACCCCTGGCTACAGAGTTATCACTGTGACTTAATCTTTGACATTTATGTTAAGCAATATGTGATTTTCATCATTTCCCTTCCCCCACATGGGAAACACATTAAAAATAAAACGTTATATCTTCATTCTAATTCATGTTTCTAAATCACTTGGGTTCCATCATTTCAAAGGGAGATTTATATGTTTATTCAAGTCTACACATGGAGTTTAATGAGGATCATCCCAAAATCAGTTGAAAATTGAGTTTAGCCATTTTATTTTATTTATTTTATTTTATTATTTTTTCTATAGTTGCCTATCTCAACGAGTGACTTTGAGTGGTATACATCATAAGTCATAATATCAATTAAAACTAGCTAAATTGTACAAAATAAATACATATGGCACCAAATAATTAATACAACCAGGAAATGGGGCCCTTAACACACTCGGGTTGGGTCCAGGACTGGGCACACAACCAAGACTTCACAACCTTGCGAAAAGCCAACAGGGTCAGGGTCATCCTGATATCTGAAAGGAGAATATTCCAGAGACAGAGGCCAGTTGAATGGTATAATTTTAGGGATGTTTACTTAGAGGTTCTTTCCACCAGGAAACTCCAAAGCAAGTGTAAGTGGGGTGCAATCATAGCTATTTCTAAATGAAATCACAAAGAAGTAAATCTGAGTCTCATAATGTAAGGGAATATGCGGATGATCTTGGGAAAGAAGGGAAGAGATGCTGCCTAAGAAACAATCAGATAAGAAAGGCAGGAGTTCCCAATGACTTAGCCATCAGAGAAAGCTTAGGAAGGACCCACCCTATGGATCAAACAGTTAAAAGTGGTAGTGAGGATTTTGTACTTTCAGACTTGCAAGACTGATGCCAGCCCTCCCAGGTAAACCGGACAGGGGACACAATTAGATGAATTAATTCTATTTTATTGTAAGGCTACATTATCATAGTCTTCCAAGTGGTTGTGTTTATTTTTATTGTAGTTTCCTATGTAGGTAGCCACCTAGAATGGTTAGGACAAGACAGGCAGCCATACAAATCAAATAAAAATCTATACCATACCATACCATACCATACCAGCTTATTTGCAAATGCTATAGAAATCTTTTTAAACAAAACTACAGGAGCCATGGTGGGACAGTGGTTGGAATACAGTATTGCAGGCTAACTCTGCCCACAGCCTGGAGTTTGACCCTAATCAGTTCAAAATTGACTCAGTCTTCCATTCTTCCAAGGTCAGTATAATGAGGACCCAGGTTGTTGGAGGCAACATGCTGACTTTGTAAACCACTCAGAGAGTGCTGTAAAGCACTATGAAGCGGTATATAGAACTAAATGTTATTGCTATTTATCATCCAAATTCAATAAATAAAAAAAAATCTGGCTAACCTGGGTTAAAGGTCAGGCAAGGTTACTGCATAATTGTACACAACCTATACCATAGCATTGTGGTTGGGGGGAGGAAGGCAGTGCAAACAGAGAGTACCTTATGCCATTTTTTGTTCTTGGAGAAAAGATAGGAAATAAATATAACAAATAATATGTAACTGGGATCCACACATTTCTGCCTTATAATAGATCACTGTGACAAGTGCAGTGTTAGTCTATCCCTTCTTTTCTTATTTTGGACACAACTAAACTCTAGTTTTAGTTGCTCCTGTAATTACTTACCTGGCTGGTTGGACTCCCACTAACATAAGGATTCTTAATGCAATTCTACGATGCAGATTCCACTCTTCAATGGCAGCTGCCATAGTCAAGCCACTCAAAAAGAGGAAGTTGGTGTCTAAAAAGTATTGGGGACAAACTTTGTTGGCTGGGAGAATTCCAAGGAAAGGAAACAGAATTATAGGGAGAAGAGCGGTCACTGATAAAGGCAGAGCTTCGGTGCACCAATATATCGCCATCACCAAAATGACATAGAGACATTTTCCTTCCTGCAATGAAAAAAAAAAGGGATTATAAAGGATTTCTAAACCACTTGGAAAGTTGGAAAGTCTTTTGCCATTCATATTTTATTCTCATTGATTACAATAGCAATGCTACAAATTAGGTTTCTGTTAGCCTTGCAAAGGAGCGCAGACAATCACAGTCAGGAGTACTAACTCTTAACCTTTTTGCAAGATTTATTGATAGATTGATTAATGAAAGGTAAGTAGCTGCCCATTTCATCAAAGTAACTCGGAGTAGCACAGAACCAACAGCTAAAACTACATATAAAAAATTCAGATATAAAAAATATATTAAAATCCCATTAGCAGTATGTATTATTATTGGTTATATTAAACAGAATCATGCAAGTCTGATGCTACCCCACTCTCCTTAAAAATTATGGAGGGTGCCTTCTGCCATGTTTTCATCACCCCTCCTCTTTCAGATTCAATTTTCATTGACTGGACCATTGTCTACGCTGTAGTTCTTCCCTCTTGTCATCAACACTTGCCATCAGTGAGTGTTAGTAGCCGCCTTCAAGGAAGCATATCCGTGGTGATGCCCGAGCCAGGCATCTTGGGCTTTCCTTGGGGGAAGGGGGGGGCTGAAAGTTTGCACCCAGATGAACCCTAGACAGAAACAAAGATTAAGTATTTCTGTAGCTCTTTAAAGCCATCTAGTAATTACCCTAATCAGCACCAACTGAGGTTCTCTACCACCTGCAGCCTGCTTTCCTTGCCCCTACCCATCATGCCAGCCTAGGCAAATGCTGACATTCTCTAGGGGTGTATGGCAGCTCTGCAGCTCAGCAGAACCAGGTACAATTTTCTTTTGAAGACTAAAGGCTCAGAAAAGGGTCAGTCTGTCCATGAAGCTCAAGGTGGCTTCCACCCTGTCTTGTGTATTTCTATGCCACTGCATACCTTCATACTTATTATAATAGTGATCTATTATATTAAAGTTTGACTATAAACAAGAAGTATCTGAAGGTGCTTCATAAGTATGAAAAAAATCCAAGTATGAAAAGAGCCAAGGAAAGAAGAACATTATCATTAGCTTATCATTTGATATTTCAGAAGTGCTGGGCATATACTGGAATGGAAACTACACAAGCTGAACTAAGAAATCTACTTAATCACCCACTTAAATGCAGCATGCAGAATCTGAGTTGGCAACAAGAGTTAGCAACAAGACTTACTAGATAGAAACTTTATTTCTGTCATTGACCAATAAAAGTGCTAGTAAACAACAACACCTACATTTCCACAAGCCATATGAAGTGATTAATCTTTATTCGAATACAGAAGTCACAGCCACAGGATCACCAACTTTAGGCAATGTAATTCTAAAGTTTTGAGAACTGGCTGAAAGAAGTATCATATGTAATTTGAAAAAATGGGAATTTGCAGTCCTGACAAATGAGCTATTTGTGTTGTCCACCTGTTCTTCAGGTTTCCAAACAGGTTTTTAAACATATCTATCAAAGCAATCAAATTTCCCATCTCTCAATTTTAACATAAAACTTTTGGGAACCAAAGTTCCTGCACAAAGCATCCACATGGTGAATTTGGTCAAAGAGCATCAGTTCCCATGGAAAGAGAAAAATATGTAAATAGCATCTTTCTTGATTCCACCAGCTTTGACATCTGCCTTACTGTGCTCTATGGCAATGACCAATTCGTTTAACACAGCCTCTGAATGAGTCCAAATGTTTTTTTTAAAAATAATTATTTGACTTGTTTAAAGGTCAAATGACTTTTTTGTTACAAACGCAAACTTTCTTATGAATCTTGTGACTGAGTTAATTTTCCAACTATGTAATAATTGCCAGCTGAGTAGTGTTTTCCTCAGTTATCCAAGACATATTTTACATAATCTGTTACCACAGAGGAAAAAGAAGAATATTTTTCGTCATTGTTCTCTATTATTTACTTATTTTTGGACTTCCATTCCCATCAGTGCAGACAGAATGCCATTATTAAGAGATTGTGGGAATAATTGCTTAAAATATATCTTAATGTCTACCTTTGCTATAACTTTGTATTTAAACAACAGCAAAAAAAATTCAATTACCAAGATGGCTGAGTTCCATCTCAACAACTGAGAGCTGAGTAAGATCGCCCTATAGAGGGCAATGGTCTACAGAACGCTCTAAAACAGACCATGATATTTCTGTGCCTTCTTCCTTCTGTGATCTCCCTCTTCTCTCTCCTCCCACCCATTCACTGTTTTTGTTTTTGTTTTGCCTTTTCCTCTTCTATATAGCATCCTTTTTTTCAGAATTACAGTATATAGGTGGCAGAAAAGCTGTGAAAAGAACTTTTTCAATATTAGGACAAATTGTGGGCCTCCTTGGAGAGTCTTGTGCAAGCTCAAGTGCAGGCCTGAACACCAATAATCACAGTGGCCTTTTTGGTGGACTCTACCTCTTCTCAGGGGATATTTAGTATCAGTGTGGTTAGTTTCCAATCTCTCTCTTGCTCAAAAATATGCTATATATACATTAACATATATTAATTATATGAATAATGTATACAAATACATATATTAAGTGTAGGAAGATTTCTGGAGCTCACTTGTCCCTGCCTCTCTTTTGGAAAGGATGAGAGGTGAAGTCCAACATTAAGGAGTGAGGTCCAGGTATAATATTCTTTCTGTACATATTGCTGTCTATCACAAAATATGCATGTTGTATTTATGAAACTGGGAACTGCTGCTTCTGAAGATGTTACTGCTCTTTTCAGTAGCACTGCATAGAATTAATAGGGCCTAGATGCATGTCAATTTTCCTAAATTGATAGGTATGTAGAACTAATGTTCTTGCTGGTATCACTTAGAATAGATAGCAAAAGGTTTACTCTGAATTACCTTGTGTTGACTCTTTGTTTAATGGCATTGAAGCTTAGATTTTGGTGCTCATTTTGACCTTGTCCCCCATTGAATGCTTTTATGGAGACGCTGCCAAAATCTGAATATGGTGCTCTTTTATTGAGGCACAAAGGCTTGTAAAGCTAGCTATACCGTCCTGGTCTCTAATTCATTGATGGGAAGGCATAACTCCACCTTGGATTGGGTCCCATGAGTTGAGTGACTGAGAAACTGAGATTCCCAGCCTAATACTCTAGACTCCAAAATGATTTCACCCTTGCAGCAATGTCTCTTTTTTACATTTTTATTAGAGTTTATTATATCATTTTTATAAATGAAAATAAAGATCAGAAAGAAGGGACAAATAGGTGCAAGGTAAAAAAGAAAAAAAAAGCAGTGACCTCCAACTATCTTCAGTGTTTTTTCAGAACAGTGTTTCTCAACCTTGGCAATTTTAAGATGTCTGGACTTCAACTCCCAGAATCCCCCAGCCAGCATATGAATACTAAATGCAGTTACAACCTCAACTTTTTGTAACATTCTCTCTCAAGGGCATCCCTTTTAGCAGATTGGTTGAATTTAGACACCATTGCTGGCTGGGAGTTGATCACTGTGCTCAGGATTCTTCGGAATTAAACTAAATTAAGGCAGTCTATTCCTGAATATTAATACTTTCAGTGTTGTGATCTTGCATTTAATGATTTCATTGATTTGAAAGGAGACGTTTAGATGATTCATAAACCCAGATTATCAGGGCTCTTGAAGCAAAAAGGTATTTGCTAACCAAAAAAGATGAAGGTTCATGAACCCTTTCAATGACCCATCTGTTCTAGTTTATGTAGGGTCTTTTGCGTATTATTTATAACTCTTTTTCTGAAGTCTGCATTATGCTACTTGTCTGGAAAGAGAAGAATGTGATGGTTGTGTATATATAACAGTATATATAAAATAGATGTCATTTTCCAGCACTTTTGCAGTGGATGGTATAACCATCAGGTATTTCAGTTGAATGGTACAAAGAAATTCTCTGAAGATCCAAACATTGGTAACCAAGCACATTGATTTTTATTGGTATCCAAACACATGTGGATACAGTATACTTACTACAGATTATATTAAAAGAGAAGAAAGCAATGAAGAGAGGTCACTGGAATTTTATCAAATTCTACTTAAAATATTAACCAAATTTCCCTAATTTTCTGTGGGAACTTTCACAAATATATCATCTCATCTTCTTCTATCTTAATCTTCCCCTCCCCAAGTCTATACTCACAAACCAAGCAAAGCTGACTTAACTTGATAGAGGAGATTTACTGGTTAATAAATTTGATTTCTTAATAATTCCTTCATTCCTTGCAGATGCTTCTCTACACTGACCCCCTTGCTGCGGTGGGATTCTGATTATCACCAAACAGCACTCTTCCCTCTTATCTCTTGATATTAATTGCAATTACAACATCGTGTCCCCCAGGACTCATTTTTCCTTTTAGTTTTTCTAAAATTTCTCTCAGTCTATTTCTGGCAATTTACATTTAATAATCTATCTATACCAAACCCTTCCTCAAATGATTTGTACTACAACATTGTTGTATGTGACTAAACTAGTTTTTAGCCTTTGGTGAACATTTTTTATAAAATTAAAACTGACTACAAGATTTGAATCACATCAATTTTGGATTCATTCAGTTACAAATTTAAGCTGAATTCATCATTATAGTACATCTACATTCAAATCATATTTTACGTATTTTTTGCAATGAAATATAAGCACATATAATACATTTGACAAAAAAATAGCAGCAAATAATCTGTGAAACAGCTTGTCTGCAAGCATTGTCTCAGTTTTTAAAAAGTCTTATTATACTTGGAATACTAAACCATTTTTTTGAAGGTGCCAGAAATTTATTCCTCAGATTTAGTTCTCTTAAATATAATGATGACCAATTTTGTTTTTAAAAAGCAGTGTTTTATTTCCATTGCTAATACACACACAAACACACACACACATACACACACACACACACTTTCAGTACATTGCTAAATATATATATCATATTTAAATTATTAAATATATTTATGGGACTAAAATGTGATAATTTTGTTACAGATAATATTATAGCAG